TTCACAATCAGTTCTAAACCCAGTTCTCGTCTGGTAGTTAGTTCCCATCTGACAATCAACTCTAAACCCAGTTCTCATCTGGTAATTAGTTCCCATCTGACAATTAATTCTAAACTCAGTTATCGTTTGGTAGTCAGTTCCCGTCTGACAATCAATTCTAAACCCAGTCCTCGTCTGGTAGTCAGTTTCCGACTGACGATCAATTCTAAACCCATTTCTCGTCTGGTAGTTAGTTCCCATCTAACGGTCAATTCTAAACCCAATTCTCGTCTGGTAGTCAGTTCTCGTCTGACAATTAATTCAAATTTCAGTTCTCTTCTGGTAGTCAGTTCTCGTCTGATAATTATTTCTAAATCTAGTCATCTCTCTGGAAAACGATTTCTAAGTCCAGTTCTCACCCTAGAAAACCATTTATAAGTCCAAGTTCTTGCCCTGGCCAACCATTTCAAAGGTCGGTTCTCGTATGGTAGTCCGTTTTCATTTTTTGTTCCTCTCCTCCTTTTTCAATTAAGTATTTGTTTACATACGACGCTATCAGAATTCTAGATATTGACCTTTCTTTGGGATCAGAGATCGTCCTTAGATCCTACCCCCTTTCGACGTCTTGTGTAACGCTTGTTTATTTAATTAATTATTTAATTAAATTATTTTTGGATTATTTGTTGAAGTTGTAAGATGTTGGGAATTATTGGTAGAAGCTGTTAGATTATTATTAATTGATTAATTAGTTGATTAATGATAATAATAATGTTGGAATTAATAGAATATTTATGTTGGGCCTATTTTATTGGTTGGGTGTATTAAAGTGGGGGTGTGTAGGTTAGGCCCGATAGGATTGATATATAAGGTTAAGCTAACACAAGGATTTGGTTTTTAGAGAATAAGGAATTATGTGCGCTGACCATGTGAAGCCGCGCGATGAGAGCACTAGTTGCCCGATTTCGAGTAGAGCAAAGTGAGGATTACGGCCGGAGCTTTGGTTGAGCGAACTTCAATCCAGGTAAGGGTGGGGTTCTGACCTTATAATGGGATTTATGATGTGTATCATGTGGGAATTGGTCGTTTGTATGACTGTGTGCGTTGATGTTTCTGGATTTGTTATCGAAGTTGCCCGTTTCTCTATGTTGTGGTCATTTAGGGAGTTACCGTACGACTGTTGTAATGAACCTATTATAGTAAGTTGCTCGGTTGTTACGTTGAGGTCGTTTCAAGTGGTCTGTATCATTTCCCAGTGGAATCTATGATTAGGTTAGTATAGTTATCATTGGATGGTATGGCCTTTATGATGTTGTGGTGTTCCGAGCAGTTGGCAGGAAATTAGGAATTGTTGTTGTGGTCATATTAAGAGGGTTTATGCGTGACGGTATTATACAATAAACAAATATGTTGATAGGAAATATAGTTATGTGTTACTGTGGTATTTCGAGCAGTTGGTCGGAAGTTATGAATTGTATTGATGTGGTCGTTATGATGTCGTGTTGTTCGGTGTTGTTGGCCGAACTAGTGGTCAAGGAGGATGCTGATGATGTTAAGTGTCGAGCGGCGTTTAGGCTGTGAAGTGTGTCGAGGAATATATGTGTTGGATGTTGAGCGACATTAGGCTACGAGGCGTGCCGAGGAGCACGATACTATTGTCTAGTGGAACGAAGTTGCAGGTTAGGCCGAGGAGTATAAGTTAATTGTTATTCTTCTTAGTTACTATGTAAGTCATTATGAGTTGAGAAATTACAGGTTGATGATTTATGTTGTGATGCCTCTAATTATGGGAAAATGTTAAGTTGTAGGGTTATGGATAACGTTGATTTATGTTGTTTTATGTTGAATTATTATTAAGTTGTAGGCTTATGCCAATGTTGTTATGTTGTTGTGATTGTTGCTGTGAATTTTGTTGATAATGCGAAGTTGCAGGGAATTTTAAATGACGGTAAATTACCTCTATTTACTATAGGCTTATGCCATGCGATGAACGATGATTATTGTGAGTATGTGATAGTGCATTCTTTGAGTCACATACATTTTCATATTTTGCGATGACCTGTACTGACAAACTGCGAAGAAGGCTTATGCCTTGTTGATGCCTCTATTAATTGACAATTTTTAAGATGGGAGTCCTGCTCCATTTTTAAGTTGGGATTTCTGCTCCGTTTTTAATATGAGAGTTCCGCTCCATTGGTATCACATGTATATGCATAATAACAAGTTGCATTTCACGTTGCATATTGAGTTGTCGTGTTGATGAATTAATTATTTTATTTCATTGATGTTTTATTGTGATTGATGTTGTTTAAAGTTGTGAAGTGGTGATTTTGCATAGACTAATTCTAATGTAATATTTATCATACATTTGATTATATTATTCGATATCTCACCCATTCTATTCGAATGTTACCCATACATTGGTAACATGCAGGTAATCCAGAGTGAAGGCGGTTTACCTTCAGTAGTTCGAGTCGGTGTCATTGCTCTGATACGTAACACTTGGGGGGATGAATGCTTGCTATTTTATTGTTGTTATTATTTCAGTTAATTGAACCTTAAGTTGTTGATTGTTAAATATTTATTACTTGAAGTTGTTTAAGATGGGTAAAGATGCTATATTCTTTTAAGTTGAATATTTGATTCTGCTGCGTAGTTATGAAAGTTGTTGGATTACTATATATCGTTGTTGGTTCATCCAAGTTTAATGTGTTATGTATCTGCAATGAATAGAGTTATTTTAAGTTGAAATTTGTAGCATCCTGATTTAGTTGTGGAAGTTTTATAACTCTGATTTTATATATAATTGTTGGGTAGAATTGGGGTGTTACAAAGTTGGTATCAGAGCAAGTCGGTCTGTCCGGCCAAGTTGTCTAATGTTGTTTGTTCCTTAGTACACGACAAGTGTGTGAAATACTGTCGGTGCTTACTTGTTTTCTAATCGATTGTATGCAGGAGTTGGTGAAACAACCAGCTGAAAATCATCAAACAATGAAGTCACCATCGAACGTCTTTTATCCCACATGAAGGGAAAGGTAAACATCGAGAAAACCTGAGAAGGGAGAAGTCATGGTCTTGCGACCGAGAGATCAAGTAAGGGAGTCTGTTACGCGAGGGGAAGGTATTATCACCCCACGCGCCCGTAGTACTCTATGGTATCCACTCTTGTTATCTATCTTATGGGTGTGTTTAATCTATGCTTACTGTCTACTATACTACTGAAGGGAGAATGCATGCAAAAGAAAGAAGAAAAGAATGTAGGGAAAATAAAATTGTGCTTGCTTGGGCCCTACCCCAATGCCTACGTATCCGTTTTGAGGAATCAGATCTACCGTAGTTCGACTCTTATGTTTTTGTTTATTTGTGTTTTTTATGGACGAAGTTAATTCCGCCTTCTGCCGCAGCTCGACCTTTGGAGACTTATGCGTTGGCACAGAAGTAAACTAATCATGTCCTTACCTGAAAAGGGTTTTAGAGAAATGGTGCTCAAGCGCACAAAATGGTTTGAATTTGATTTGTGTTTTGTTACCTTGAAAAAAGGGTTTAAGTGAGATTAGCATGTTTTTGATTTGCTAAGAAAATAAGTTTTTGTTTCAATGCAAGGATGCAAAAAGGGGAAGAAAAGAGTCTAAGGGAGACTAGCCTATTTCTAATCTAATGTTATCATACAATGGTAGTCCTAAGTGAAGGATGAAAGGGGAAGTTCCTACCTACTGTTAGCAAGCGCATCCTAAGGGAACATGATATGTATAAGGATAAAGCAAGCAAGCTAATAAACTCAAGAGAGCGCACCTAGAAAGATCCTATCTAAGTTAGCATGTCGAAGAAAGTCTAACAAAACTATCCTATAGGGGACATGCAATGAGAGCAAAGTCGTGATCTCAATTTCTAAATTGAGTGACTCATCGATCAACAAGAAAGAAAAGAAAGCGATAAAGTCCTATAGGGAGCATGCACTGAGAGCGAAGTCGTGATCTCAATTCCTAAATTTAGTGACTCATCGATCAACCAGAACATAAACAAACACAAGCATAACACATATAGCAAATGAAGTGCGGAATGCCTGCTACAGGTCTTTAAACAGCGACTTCGAGCACACGCTCTTTATTTCCTACTACACATGATATCTAGAAAGCGATAACAAAATGCAATAAAGTGAGAAGAAGCACAAGGGTAGTAGCGGAAGCTACCAAAGCAAGCAAGTCGTCAAGAGCAGACGAAAGCACTGAAAAAGCAGGGAGCACACGTCGAACAAGCTTTACCAAGAAACAAACAAAGTCAGAAATAATATCCAACTAGGATAATGGCAAATGTGTATTGCGGATGCAATGCATAATTAGAAATTCCTTGCACAATGAACAAACGCGTCAAAAAATAATATGGCAAAGCGGCATGAAAATACGGATGACAACTAAAAAAAAAGAAAAAGTATATTTTTACATTAGTTTTTATGTGAAGAAAATTCCATCAAAAAAACTAAAGAATTAATTCCTAAAATCACTTAAAGAGATCTAACGAATTTTATTGATTTTATAATTTTGTCAAGGAAAAATTAACAAAGAAAAATTCCTAAATCTAATAAAGAACTAAAAAGGGTCCTAAATCTAAACAAGAGGCATAGGATGATCAGGGGGGATGTGAACTAGGATCTAAGGGTATAGTGCAATAAGTTGGCGCTGAGCCCATTTCATAAGAGTCCAACACTTTTTTTGTTTCACTTGCTTCAGGCTTCACAAAAATACATCATGAAGGGCTTAGAGGGCTACAATTTCGGTCCATCAACGGTTTTTGTTGTAGATTCTAAAAAGATGACAATGAACCTAATGGAGTGGTACCGGCCCAACAACACACATCCATAATCCTATCCAGGTTTTCAACATTTTTCATATTATTGTGATTATCAAAAGAAATAAAAAGAACAAGGTTAAAACAATGTACTTTCTGGATAGTTTGGATAGAGCCAGAAAAATAATGTCTATTGGACTCTTACAAAATGCGAAACACATTCTTCTCCTTCAAGAAAAATGACAATGGCGCTACCTCTATCAACACACCACAACAACACCGTCTGTTTGCTCCGGCTTCAATCGACCTCCGTCTCAACCATCTCCCGGCCTCGATTCGCCGTTTTCAAACAACTTCGTAAATCAGTGACTGTTCATCACCTTCAGATTCCGTATTCAACATTCTCAAGAACGAGATTATACTATCGTGACGGAAAAACGCGAACATGAAATGGATTTTGAATTTTACCTCTCAGAGAAGTTCCGAGGACTCTTCAAAGTCAGAGATTCAGAGACAGGAACTTCAATGCTCAGGTTCGCCTTATCTTCTGATTTCAGTCCTTTTCTTCTTCTTCTCTTTGATTTCTGAATTATTGCTGTTTGTGTTGATGTGGTGAGATGAAGGTGTTGATTGTTGAATTGAGGACGAATTGCATTGAGAAGGAGATTGATGAAGTGAAAAAATTGTTGAGAGCGTGAGGCTGGTGTCGAATCGGTGAGGGTGAGATGATGTTCAAGAATTCGGTTATAGAGCAGAGGGAAGATTGCAGAAGTGTCGCTTTTTGTGGTTTTTAGGTGCGAAGAAGGTGAAGGTTGAAGATGGAGTGATGTGAGAAAGATGAAGATGAAACTCAGAGAGAGAGTCAAGAAGATTGGTGATTTCTCTTTTGTGAATCTTTCTTTTCTTTGTTTCCTCCTCTTCTTTTGAATCTATTATCTCTGTTATGTTTTTGCTGGAGGTTATTACAGAATTATTTAGAACAGTTAGAGATGAATGATTTCTGGCCAATGGAGCTGAGATGAGTTTGTTACAAATCAAGGGTGAGATTAGGATTGGAGATAATTGGTTATATCTGTTTATTAGCTGAGAATTTCTGTTAAATCTAAGATAGTTAGTTAGAAAATGAATTGAATCCTGACCATCGGTTTATGTGAGTTTGTTATAAAAATGGAGGGTAGAGATTGAGAGGCTGCCAATTTGTTAAGTGCTAGTTAGATGGTTTAAGGTAGTTAGGATGAGCTGGAAGTGATTAGTTTGAACTGTTAGGAATTTATGTTATGAGGTGGTTATTTGCGAGCTATCATACACCCTCAAGAAAGAACCCATTCAATCTGTTTCCCTTGTTTTTGAACTGAAGCATGGGATGACTCTACTGATGTAAATTGCAGGGCACGATGTATGTTAAGCCCCATATGGATTCTTATGTGTTGTGATGTATTGATGTGGAGTGATGAATGAGCTTGAAATGATCAAGCATAGAGAGTACAAAAAGGATTACAGTGAAGTTCTGTGATGCGATATCAAGAACGAGGCAGGTGATGTAATGATTTGGTGTCAAATGCTGTCCAAAAAGGGACTTTTACACCTCCCTCTTATAACTTGCTTCCTTTCTCTTTTGTATTTCTGATTTTCTGTCTCTATTCTCTATTTGCATAATGAGCTAGCACGGTTTTGATTATGAAGAGAAGGTTAAAAGCTGGATGAAACTGTGATGGGTTGAAGGTTTGAGGTTAGTTTGAAATGACTTAGGAATTTGTTTTCTGTTACTTGTTGGCTGCATATTCCTTGTTCCTGAAAGTTGTTGAGAGAATTGAACATCATTATTGGACTCCATTTGCTCATATTGAACAAATAATTATCTTCATGTTACTGACTTAACTCTACAGGCTGTTTGTATTGATATTTTCTGGTTTTTCTCAATTGATATTTCCTGACACATTTTTTGTTACAAATCTCTGCTAGAAATTTGTTAGAAGTAGTTAGGAGGGTGAGTTGATGGTTCTTGGGGAACAGACATAACATCAACAATGTTTTTTCAGATTCTTGGTAAATTGTCGAGTAATATCATGCGAACCTTTCTAGAATCGACTTGTATGATTGGTGCCATGGAAGTTGCTGGTGATGAAATTGGAAGCACTCCAACAGAATTTTGAGGAAGACCAGCAGTCATTGCTGGACCTGTATTCACAGTCGCGTCTACTCCCCCTGTTGAATTTGAGTTTATTAAATGCAGTGTACTTGTAGCACAATCAACAGGATTTGTTTGGGCTTATGTTTCTAATCTCTGTTGTTTCTCTAAAAGTATATTCAATAGCATGGTCGGATTTACAACTATATTTTCCATTATTTTTTTTTATTTTTCTGGTAAAAGATGAATGTGATACATTGTGTAATGAAATAGAACTTCCATTACCATATGCTGAAGTGGAATCATATCCTACAACATATGTCAGATCAGGATGATTAAACTTGCAGGTTGCTCCAAACTTACAAGATCCAGTTCGCATGTAATAGGGACACTCCTTCTTACCCAAATGAATAGGTAATCCGAGTAAGTTAAACTCTAAAACTTGAACGGCTGAATACTTTCCTCTGGTGTGATCAAATTTACAATCCTTTCCAAACATACAACCCCTGACCTTGAATAATACTTGCATTCCATCTGGCCTGCTCTTTTCTCCAATTCATCTCTTTCTCCCGCTCTCTCTTTTAAAAGCCGAGTTTCTTCTCCTAAGAGGTTGATTAAACTTGCAATTGGATCCAAATTTTCAAGTCCCCGTCTTGAGATAAAAGGAACAGCCTTCAGCTTCAGGCGTCAATGGGTACAGTCTTTTGAATTATTGTGGGATTTTCTACTTGAATTTCAAGAAATGAACCATGAATAAATGCTTGTACTTAAAATCCTGAATTTGATAACATAAATTTGTAGAATTTGAATGATGAACGATGAATGATGTTTTTTTGAATTTTAAAGCCTTGAATAATGAATTGTTGGACTTGGATAAGTGGACTTGAAACTTGCATGACGTATTCCTTTTGCAACATTGTAACTAGTACCAAAGCAAACATTGATCCAATCTAGAACTTGAATGAATACCTCAAATTAATCTTCCATTCTCAATGAAGCCCTATATTCAATTCAATTTTCCAATCTTAACCAAAATTTCATGACAAGCAACAATATGTGAAAGAATAATGATGCCTTTATTACAATGAATCCACAAACTTATCTCTTGTACCATGGCTTGCATTTTGCAATCCAATCCATACTATATCTTGACTTTATGGATGACAACATTGCCTTGAGAGCGCCTTGAAGTATAGAAAGAAACTTAATATGGAGCTCAATGAACCTCAGTCGATAGATATCACGAATTCACACATAGAAGATATGAATCCCTAATACACATGTGTTTGATGAATCCTTGATGGAGGATGACCTTATAGCTTGATGAAGAAAAGATCCACAACATCCATGAACACAAAACCCTAATTCCACAATTTCACTGCCTAAAAGAAATAACCAGAAGAATCAAGCTATATTGAACATATACACCTCAATCAATTGATAAAACCCTAATCCTGTTCATGAACATTTATCTCTTGCTAAATTTATTGATGAATGATGCATGAGGTGTTAGCTGACCTTATGAGGGTTATATACATTAGAAAAGCGTAACAATGCATAAGCCAGATAAAAGCAAAAGGGGTAGGACAAATTTGGGGTATTACAGTTGGTTTGAAGATAAGTGGGGGAGAAGCTTTGCTTCTAGGATATGTTTTGGTTGTAAGATGTTGGTTCAATATGTTGTTGTTGGCGACAGTGCAAGCATTGTTAAAGTCTTGTTGTTTCCCGAATCCGAAGGTGACAGGGATTAAAGATTTTGTTTGTTAATCAAGTTGGAACATCTTGAGGGAGGAAGTTGATGCAAGAAGAGGCTCATATGTTCTTGTTGATGGAGTCACTATCTGTCGAGAATGAAGCTATAATTGAGGAATTGCAAGTGGTGGGTGAATTTCCTGAAGTTTTCCCTGATGAAATTCCTTATGTACCGCCATAGAGAGAAGTTGAATTTGCTATTGATCTTGTACCCGGTACCAGACCTGTGTCTATGGCACCATACAGGATGTCTTTATCTGAATTGTCATAATTAAAGAAGCAATTGGAAGAGTTACTTGAAAAGAAGTTTGTAAGACCAAGTGTATCATCATGGGGAGCTCCAGTGTTGGTAGTAAAGAAGAAAGATGGAAGTATGAGACTTTGTGTTGATTATAGACAATTGAATAAAGTGACGATTAAGAACAAGTGTCCACTTCCAAGAATAGACGATTTGATGGATCAATTGGTGGGTACTCATATGTTTAGTCAGATTGATTTAAGGTCGGGTTATCATCAGATTAAAGTGAAAGATGAAGATATCCAGAAGATGACTTTCAGAATGCGTTATGGACATTATGAGTATTCAGTGATGCCTTTCGGTGTTACTAATACGCCGAGAGTATTCATGAAGTACATGAACCGTATCTTTCATACTTATTTGGATCGGTTTGTAGTGGTGTTCATTGATGACATTTTGATTTACTCTAAATCGGAAGAAGAGCATGCAGAACACTTAAGAATAGTATTGCAAGTTTTGAAAGAGAAGAAGTTGTATGCAAAGTTGTCTAAGTGTGAATTCTGGTTAAAGGAGATTAGTTTTCTTGATCATGTTATCTCAGGTAGTGGCATTATTGTAGATCCATCTAAGGTAGATGTTGTGTTGCAATGGGAAACACCAAAGTCGGCTACTGAGATTAGAAGCTTTTTGGGATTAATTGGTTATTATAGAAGGTTTATCGAAGGTTTTTCTAAGTTGGCACTCCCGTTGACTAAGTTGACTTGTAAAGGTAGAGCTTTTGTATGGGATATTCAATGTGAAGAAAAATTTTCAGAATTGAAGAAGAGATTAACGTTAGCTCCAATTTTGACATTACCTAATCTAGGAGAACCTTTTGTGGTATATTATGATGCTTCCAAGATGGGTTTAGGAGGTGTGCTTATGCAGAATGAAAAGGTAGTTGCTTATGCGGCAAGACAGTTGAGGACTCATGAAAAGAACTACCCTATGCATGATTTAGAGCTTGGTGCAGTTTTTTTTTGTGTTGAAGATTTGGAGGCATTATCTTTATGGTTCTAGATTTGAAGTATTTAGCAACCATAAGAGTTTAAAATATCTATGTGATAAAAAAGAATCAAATATGAGACAACGAAGATGGTTGGAATTGTTAAAGGATTATGATTTCGATTTGAATTATCTTCCAGGAAAAGCGAATGTGGTGGCTGATGCATTAAGACGAAAGACTTTACATATGTCAACAATGATGGTTAAAGAGTTGGAATTAATTGAACATTTAAGAGATATGAGTTTACTTTGCGAGGTGACACCGCAGAGTGTTATGTTAGGGATGT